CAGCTGCAGGTCGCAGGTGGCGCTGTGGACGCCCTTCCGCGAGGGGCGCGGGCAGAGGCCGGCTCGCGAGCAGGAGTGATGCGGGTCGGTCTTCTTGAGGCGGATCTGCCTCCGCACGCTCTGCACCTCCTCCAGCGACACGAGCAGGTGGTGCCTGCGGCGGTGGCTGTCATAGAAGCAAACGCCGTCCGTACTTACCCCGTGGCTCGCGGACCCCAGGCTCTTCTTCATCTCGCCCTCCGTCAGCGAGCGGGACACCTTCTGGGCCTTGTCTTCCTCCGGGTAGGAGAAGAACGTCCCCATCTTCTTGGGGGGCTTGATGAGGCCCCGGCTCTCTCCTTTGCTGAAGGTTTTGACCAACTTCCGGCCGGCCCCCCAGGCTTCCGGGGTGCTGGGGGACGGCGACGGGGTGAACGAGTCCGAGTCATCTTCCGGAGGCTTCTCTGGGGAGCCGTCGAACAGAAAGGGCTTCTTGTGCACGCCCGAGTACAGGGCGGACCGCTCGTCCAGGCCGGGCGGGCTCTCGAACACGGGCTCCTCCGCGCCTGCGGGCGACCAACACACTCGTCAGGGCGGCACCCGACACCCTCGCCTCTGCCCGGGCCCTTCTCCGCCCCCGCGGGAAACGCGCCGGTCCACGCGGGAGCCACAGCGCCCCCTCCCCGTGTCGCTCACCCTCTCCATAAGCCCGGCTCCCGCTTAAATAAAGGCGCGAGAAAAAGAAAAGAAACCGTGCAAACGTATGGTTCACACCGGCTCGGCGCTGGAAGGCGTCGGATGCGCCTTCTCCTTCTTTAAAGACCTTTGTAGAGCAGACACCTGAGCAGCCCCATTAACAAGGTCATTCGGGAAACCTACACTGGTCGCGGACAAGGCGACACTTAGCCTCAGGAGACAAGGGGCCGCCCCCGCCGGTGAAGTGCGACAAGGCTCAGGAGCTGGGAGTCAGCATCTTTCCCCTTCTGAAGGGCCCTCCTGGTGAGCCTGGCTGCCTTTTGTACCCCGAGTGTGATGAATGCCACGTGGCTGGCAGAGATTTTTTTTGGGGGGGTGTTTTTTGTTTTTTTTTTACTGGTCCACGTGCTGTTTAAGGGAGTCAGTCACCAAGGGGGTCTGGACGTGGAAACACCACGAAGGGGTGAGCTTTGCAAATGCAACTGACGGGCAAACACAAGCTGGGGAAGTGGGTGCTCCCAGCGAGATTTTCCCATCAGCTCAGGCCCTGCAGGCGGCAGGCAGCAGGGGCATTGAAGGGTCTGGGCACATGAGCAGCCCCCGTCTGCCTCTCAAGGATCCCAGCTCCCCAAGCCCTGGCCAGGGCCAGGTACTGCGCCAAGCCCTCCGGGGCCCAGCCGAAGGTCTGGGCTCGCTGGCAGGGAAACCGAGTTCTTTTCTGCGTGTGTGATGTGAACAGATGTGAGGAAAGAAGTAGGTCAAGCTGTGGGTGTAGTGACCCTATCTGGCTGTGTCCCTTTAATTATAAGGAAACTTTTGAGCACGGCAGCTTTCCACCAGCTGAACTGTGAAGAGGGAAAAAACACAAAGTTTCCTGGAAGAGAGGGATGGCACTAAATATACCAGCTGGAACGAGGGTGCCTGTGTGCGGTTAAAAGTCAGAGATAAAGGGAAAGGACTGCTCACTGCAGAGAGGGGAAAAGATGGGTAGACTGGTGGCAGTCCTTTAAAATTCCAGAAGTTTCTTTTCCAACTGATGGGAATTAGTTACAAATATAAAGAAAAAAGCACAACCCTAGACTGACTTTGATGTCAAGGAGGTGGTGGTGGGAAGGGAGGGTCAAAACCAAGTCCAGCCCAAAGTTCTCCATAATCAAGATTTTTCCCTGGGTCTTTCCAGAGGGTTCAAAATTAGGGTCTAGGTTTCTGACAGGAACTCAACATCCTCAGATATCCTGAGGATGTTGCAGGAACATCTGACTAATAAGGTATGGAGACCAAGGGTCCCCTGTGTTGCCGGGAGTAAAATGGCAACCTCTTCTAGACAGTCTACTCTCCAGGGCCAAGAGAGGCACAGCCTGAAGGCTGAGGCAGCCAACAGCAGACTTCTCTGAAGAAGCAGTCCAGCCACAGACCATGGCTTTACCTGAAGCCCAGGTGTCCATGGAGGCGTGCAAAGCCCTTATTTACCCACAGTCCTCAGGGGCTTGGGAAAATCAGGTGGGTTGAATAACTGTTTGAAGGACCTGGCACTTGGTAGTGGCTGGAAATTTTCTGGGCTCTGTCTTTAGGGTTGTCATCGGGGATTCCAATACTTCAATGTCACACTGGAGCTGGAACCAGCAGGGGCACACATATCCACGACATATGTAGCTCTGTTCCCTGGTTTGGGAAGTCAGCATCTGGTGGGGAGCCTGGAGGGACTGTGGCAAATGTTTCCACAGTGGCCGCACAGCCTGTGCCGAGGGCAGGCCTGGCATAGCACGAGCTCTCTGTCTGCAGCACCCAGACCCTGAGATCCCAGTCAGGACTGGGCTACTGGGGTTCAGAGTACTGCCTGCTCCCCTGTTCTCCTCTGACCTCAAAGTACAACCATCCTACTGGGAGAAAGACAATCAAGAGCGCTCCCTCCATCATCACTTGGCGTGATATGCTTTATATACTGACCTTTACCTATTTTATTCAGCTGAGATCAGAATACAGAAGGAAGGTGACTCTGACAGGATAGGGTACGGGATGACTTAGTGCCGAGAACACAGATTTATGCCCTGGATTCCAGCCTTGGATCCGCCACTCGATATCTCCATGACCTTGAGTCTCGGAGTCTGTTTCCTCACTGGAAATAATACCTATCTTTGTAATACCTACTGCAAGGGTAATTGAGAGGATAGCATTAAACAGAAAGAGATAGGTGAAGGTACTCTATACGCCGAAAAGCACTGCACAAGAGCGAGTGATTCGTTATCAGGCTGCAGATGAGCTGGAGCAATGAGGGAAGGGGGCTCCAGGGTCTCAGCTCTAGGAGAAAGACACAGAAATGGGCAGACGAAGGGCACTGACCTGGCTTACAATTTAATACTGACTTTGGTCATCCGTGCCCCAGGTAAGGACTTGAAACTTGAGTTACAAGGGTGAACCTGGGTGAAGGACTATAACTCTCCAGGCTTTTCCAAGCCTCCCGAGCTGGGGTAAGGGAAGACACGGGGGCAGATGGACATCCAGGATGTAGCAGAGTCAGGCTGCCTGGATTTAATTCTGGGTCTTCTGCTGGCTGCTCTGTGGGGTGACCTTGAGTAAGTTACTTCGCCTCTTGGTGTCTTAGTTTCCTCACTTGTGAAGTGAGCATGGTATATCAGCCCTGCCTCTGGGGTCTATTCTGAGGATGATATAGTACAAGGAACATAAAATCTAAAATGTTTAGGAAAGTGCCTGGCATACAGAACGCCCTCAGTAAATATTCAGACAACTCAGTATTGGCCCAGGCTGCAGGAAGAATCCCACTTTGAAGGTCTGGGGCAGCGGGCAGGGGTTACTGGGAGTGTGAATCATAACTGCTGGCAGAAGCAGGGGACAAAGTAACAAGTACCACTTCGTTTGCCAATGAGGAACCGCTGAGAGTTCTATTACACAGGGGTTGGAGGGAGTTCTTGCTTAGCAGGGTATTGGGGGACAGCCTGATGCAGATGCCCTGAGCTGCACACACACACACCTGGGGCCTCTCTTGGTGATACCAACAATCCCAGCTCCCCAACTCACTTGGGTCTCAGCTCACTGAATCCATCATCCGAGACACCTACTCATACCCCGATGAATTCAAGTTCAGAGAGAGAAGTCCACTGGGTCATTACTTTTTATCCCAGAGCTATCTCTTTTGGTATGTTTTTCCTCTTTTTCATCTATGTCTCTCAGAGTTGGCTGAATTATTTATTCTAAGATAAATATGGAAGTCAGACTATTTCTGTGTGTTTACAAAAGCTATTCCAGTGGGAAGGCTGCCTCAACACACATGACTATCATGTATGAAGGGGCCAATACTAACTACTCCTCTCATTTTACCTCACTTATGAACAAGATCCACCAATCTAGTGATGTCTGATGTTTCATTTGGTCAAGTGTACATGAAGTTTTAAAATGTGATGCTCCCCAGGGTCAATGATAGCAACTCCGTGTGGTTCTAGTTAATATCACTGACGGACACCGTGCATGTGAGTTCAGTAAGAGCTGCCACAACAAGAGGAAACCAGGCTGCTTTCTATACTGTGAGAACCATGACTAGCAGACAGGTATTAACACATCCAAATATAACAGCAGCATTGCATCCAAAAGTAAACAGAATCACCATGCAAAAAAGACATCCAAATGAAATCCAGGAATTAAATACAACTCAAGTTTATGAAACTGGCCCTAAAGCAGATCTCTCTCCCTCTCCCCTCCTTTCTTTTCCTGTTTAACCTCCTCTCTCCCACAGTAACCCTTTTACCTTCCATATTCTTCTAGGGGATTTAAACTGATAATCACAACCAATTAAAATTAAAAAACAGCTTGATTATTTATGTATAAAAAAAACCCCTCTCTACAATGATACTTTCTAAATCTACATGTTAAAAATTTGAAATTCTGTACAATATAGGTGTGACATTTTAACAAGCAATGTGCTTTAAAAACAAAACAAAACAAAAACATTCTTTCCAATGTACTTTTCAATTCACTTATCTCCCAAACAGGAAATTTTATTCTTTTATCTTTTTGGAAGAATTTTATAAGATGCAGCAAATGCACATTACTAACAAAAAGAGAGACAGATCGGGTTGTGATTTAAACTGTCATAATTACACTTCAAAGGTTAACTATTCCTTCCAATAAATCCAGGCTCATACCCCTTTTGACATTATTGCTTCATCTGACAAGCGGCTTAGCCAGCAGTGGAGCTCTCAAAGATCCACTTAGCACGAAGGTCCTTAGAGCCCCATTTGAACTGAGACTCGAGACAGTTTACAGGAAGAGCAAAGTCATCCCTCAGAGATCCGAAAGGATATGAAGTGCCTTAATTGTCAGATGTTTGTTTGAGACGAATGCATATCAAATTTCGACTAACGCCACTGGGCAAGAACCGCTGTCCTTTTGGAGCAGAGACTTATTCTAAGAGAAAGTTATAAAATAAAGTTTATATAAAATAGTATAAACTCAAAATTAAAGCTAAGCCACGCCTTGAGAAGATTTCATTCTCACATATGAGCCAGTTCCACCTTTGCACTAGTAGTTAAAATACCAAACCCCCCAAATTCTGGACACCAGATCCTACATCCCATAACGTGCTGAGTGCTGCCCTGTAACATGCAGACCCAATTCTCTCTCTGCCAGAATTCAATCCATTTTCCACCTGAAATCCTACTCTTTTTCAACTGAAAAACGGCCCCCACATGATTTGCTTTGGGATAAACAGGGTGGAGTTTGCTTTTTTTTACCTTCAGTGCTGGGCTTTTTCATTTCTTCCACCCTGATTAGTTTCTTTCTCACTCTGCGAGTGGAGTTAACCAGCTTGTGTAACCTCTTAAACTTCACCGACTCCTCAGTCTCATCATCGGATTGTTCTCTTGACTGGCAAAGAAACAAAAGAAAAGTTAATCAGATAATTGCTCCAGAGCTTTACTCCTGCAGCCGGGTGCAGCCCGGTCTCACGGCCAGTATGCACTTTGGCAGTGCTGCAGCTGAACCTGGGGCACCACCCAATGTGCCCAACAGGTTCCTGAGGCTCCACCTACCATCTTAAGGTCTAACGAGTGGAGACTCAGGTCCTAAGCAGCACGACACACACCCTTGCCCTTGACCGGCATGTGGTGCATTTTGTCTCGGCTACTTCCCGGTCCCCTTTTAGGAGAACTCCGCAGGACTCTGTCTCCAAGGCTGGCCCTGTAATTCCAGTTTCACTGCTGTGGTTTGGGCCAGGCTCTCATCTGTCTGGCCCATCAGGACTTGCTGTTTAAACGTGGTCACCAACTACTTCTCCAAACCAAAATTCTGTTGACTTGTTCCAGTCCTCCCCGAAAATCAAAAGCAGCAGGGCAGGAAAAAGGCAGAGATGCAAAAAGCCGCCTTCTATCTCACCCGGGAGGACCGCCTGCCACATCTCAGCCATCCCTTTGGCCTCTCCCAGCTCTTTCCAAGAGCTCACCAGGCGAGCGTGAGGACAGACCCTGCATTCCTCTGAGAGGGACAAGGGAAAAAGCTGACCTTTTCAGCCATACACTACAGTCCATATTCCCCAGCATCCCATTCCACTTTGCAGCGATTCAAGTATGCTCAGCCCAGCTGTTTTCCCTCAAGTATCCAACATTACAGAGAGGAAAAAAAACCTCTCCGCAGCAGTGGCCCGGGCAAAAAACAATCCTTTCCTTGTGAACAAAATGAGGGTTTCGCTTCCAAGTCAGCTCCAACATTCAATCCGCAGCTTCCTCTGTTTTATCTGTTCAAAATGTAAAAAAGGCAAAAGAAGTCTCCCAACGAAATGGGCTGCTGCTCGGCCGGGCTCGGGCATTCCCGGGAGCGCAGGGCCGGCGGCAGTGCGCAGGCGCGGCACACCCTAGGCAGCTGGTGCAACTCCAGCTAAGACTGCACATCCTGGCAACAGCTTTCTCTTCATTTCCTGCAACCTACTTCACTGAAGGAGCCGGGAGAGAAATGCCTCCACTGAAAACACGGGACACAAACAAACCACATCTCTGAGCACGAGTCTAACAGGGAGACCTCCCCCCCCAAAATGCGCTCATTAATCGCAACTTTATGGACAATAAAATAGGTATCCAAGAGTGAGCACAGACCGGTTCAAGAGGAAACGGGGTAGAGATTATGTGAATTACTTAGGTATAAAAATGGTGCATGTCGTGAGTCTACAAATATTTCTGCAGCACTCTGGCTCAATGGAAGGGATAGATACAACCCAGATCCTGGCCTCTTTCCTGCAGCTCCCGGCGTGGAGCCACTGTACTTTCTCCCTGCACGACTCTAAGCAAATCGTCCACCACTAAATGGTTACAGCACATAAAGGACAAGTCACTGGACACGTATTTCTCAGGCTTCCCTTTTGTGAAGAGTATCATATCAATGTTTAATTTCTCTAAAATTCCTAGAACAAATGTGGCATACACACCTCAAAATTAAGGTTAACTACAGGTTACCTGGTGATCAAGAATAGAAATTGCACCCCCAGGTTATGGGGGGAGGAGGCTACATTGCATGTTGGCAATTAGGCTTACTGCATTTGGCCTAAAACTCAAAATGTAAAACAATTACAGTGAAATAAATATAACTCCTACTCTATAATGATATTGTCTGGTTTGAATTTCATTTTTACTTGACTGAATTGTTATGTGCGATGAAACGGTTGCAGTGGTCAACCAGAGGAATGAGAACTTGGTTAACCCTCCTTCTGGGTAATCGGCACCTGAGCAAAACCACAATGCATGGAATTACACATAAACACTGAAAAATATTCTGCCTTCTTGACGTATCTCAAAAGCCCGGCAAGTCTAATAGAAGAATAAACAACATCAGATTAGAGAAAGTCTCTACATAGCAATGGACAAACCAAAGTACATTTAGAATACGTTTGTGTGTCTATAACGCCCGCATTAAAATATTCTGAAGTGAACATGAAATAAGCATAGGTTGTTTATAATCAAGATTTAGGAAGCTACATTAGACGATAAAAACCACTGATGCACTATGTATACCTCATACCTCGCTTGGGGATTGCTGCTGGTGGTGTGATGTGGTGGGGGGGGGGGG